GGCGACAGACCCGTTGAACAATCTTGCTAGAGTCCCAGTAGCCGCCGAACCTTCCGACGGCGCCAACGAACCGTCCGACTGCACCAACGGTGCAATGCATATATATTGTATACACAGCTGACGCGCTAGCCAACCTTTGTGGTATGCTTGCGTGGATACGCTACTGCGTCGCGCCAAAACCATCAGTAAGTCTTCGCCGGCCCACACGAACCCTACAGACAAACAAGCATCAGCTCCCCCACACGGCGAAACCTCTCCCTCCAACACTGCAAACACCAACACCTATTGCAGTGGCTTTTTAATCGCGCACGAGGCCTTCAGGTGTCGTACAAACCTGCCCTAGTGCGCGGGCAGACCCCACCCGCACCGCTCAATGCAGGAAACGCACTCACCTGGCACGACTCAGCTCCGTTCTATCTCGACCACCGAAGGTGCCGAACTACACACTTCCTGAACAGACGGCAAACGAAGCAGTATTCAAATCGGCGAATCTCACCTCCGCAATTGGTCGCCTGACCAACTCACTTCAATACTCTAGCCGCACGCCGGGAAATAAATGCTCAGCCTGTCCCACTAGCCTTGCAGCTCATTTCATTTGAGTATGTCAAGCGCCGAGCTTGCAAAAAAACTCGCCCTGCCGCCTGCAGCTGCACGGCATCTGCCCCCAACACGCATAACGCATGATGGCCCTTTTGTGGGAGCATCCAGTCGCGCGTCTGCTCTGCGCTTTCATTGCTGTTCTATCCCGAAACCTAGACATAGGGCCTACTGCCTGTCGCGTGACGCAGTCACTCAGTTCCTTCGAGCTCCTGTCCCAATGTAGTATTTGCACATGCGCGAATCATGCCAATCATACGGATTCTAAAACGAAGGAACAGACATACCTTCCCAACGACCAGCTGGAATAGACGACATGGGGTAGAGCCACCTTCACTGCTTCGTTACACCGCTGCCGTCTGCAGGCGCCCGCGCGTCTCACCGCACTCATCTCACCGGGTGCTGTGGGCCGTAACAGTCTGCCAGTTGTGAGTTGGTCGCGGATGTCGACTGCGGACAGAAACGGCTGAAAACCCACATGGCTCTGCCACTCACGCCCAAA